GGAAACATAACATGAATAAAGGCATTCAGAAAGGTGGCAGATTGTTCACATACCATAACAGGCGACAGAACACCTAAAATTTATGTAGGATGACGATATGCACAGTTCATTTTTCCATCTAACTGTCATTTTTTGGTTCTGATCTCTTTCAATCAGTGACTGAGTGGTTACGAAGAGTAAGCTTTTAGGATATATCCAGACTTAATTCACATTTGACTTTTCTTCATAGACTGGGATAGTCTATATCGGTCAGAAGAAAATAACTGATAGTCTTATTAGTGAAACCAGAAACTCTTGGTCACCATAAAATGTTTGGACCCGGTGTACCGAATCAGTTATCACTTAGATTTGTAACTTCTTTTGTGACTTCAGTTAGTGCTGGCGAACTAATGCTAGTGTCTGAATTGGGTGTTTTGCTATCCAGATAGTTGTCAATATTCATGAGGTCCATTTGCATCACTCCTATTTTTGCCCGGCTAACCGTTCCCATTTCTTGGTCTAATCGTTCATCCTTAATCTACCTCTGTGCAATGGGAAAAAACTGCAAAGCTAATCATAACAGTTCTAACTATAATGACCACCACATATTTAACATACAACTATGAACTTTTAGAGCTGTTCCCACCAAAACACCGTTGGTTATTGAAGTGTTCCTATAGCTTTAATGTACTGACTGTTACCAGATTGTTCATCAATCACAACTGGCTGAATCAGATGGATGGTTTGCATTGTGAGAAAGTTATCAATGAGAAAATGTAAATCCGAAACCCTCTATGTCTACCAAGTGTGGTGCAGCTCAGTAGCCAAGAGTGCGAAACATTAGGTCACGCATTTAAACCCACTATATCTACTCCGCGACTGACAGCTACCACCTTGATGCGGTGGTCAGGCCTGAGGTCACAATGACCCAATGAGCTATGCCAGTGGAACGCTTATTCCCTCGAGGTGCTACCATGACAGGAAGGTCTGTTGGATAGTGGTGAGACAAGCGAGTCACCGTTGTGGTGTAAACTACTTAACTTTGGTGAGGGTCTGAGGGTGAGGCCGTACTGATGCTAGCTGAATGGGGTGTGACAGTAGTAAGGTGTTTCTTATGGATGACCAGCAGTACCACAATGATGCTGTCTTCCCAACTGGAAGGAGGGGTTAGGAGAAGTTGGGCTCAGAAATAACACCACTCCCCACCCTTCGTAACATGTCTATGACTGAAGCACGGATTCATGGTCAGATTCGAAGGCAAAAACCAACATCTCGAAATTTCCAAAAGACCGTGTGTGTTAGGCCTCAAGTAGATGTTCCAGGAGATCTTCGGTCACTACCTCTTCTTTTCCAGGTACCACAAAAAGAATTAGCTTTCCCTGGTCTGGGCAGCCGGGAAGTATCAACCGCCCGCACGCTTCCAGTAGCACACACGACCCAATCAAAGATAATCTATCCTTCTCAATTGTGTCTCCTACTTTCACTTCACCTTCTGATAATAATATTAGGCCTCTTACGTCTTACCCAAGCTCGCACTCAGTAACGACTGTCAACGATCAAAGCCATTGAAACCTCGTTCCTAGTCCCCTAAGACTTCACCCACCTTCGATTTCATGTGGGAGCTTTCCATGTCTGAGGTCTATGCTAAATCAGACAGCAAGCATCGCCCGCCAAAACTCTGGCATCTTTAGTCATGGATGTATGGTGTCTCTGAGACATGTATACAAGACGTGGGTGTAGTTATTAGATTGAACTCACATGGCAATAGTAGTGAATCTTCAAAATTCACCTTAAGAGTATCCGGAGACTCAGCAGTTGGTTCTAGTGGACCCCCTGGTGGAGGCACAGCATTGAGTTGTGGAGCAGAAAATGCACTCACCGACTGGATACTAGCAAACAGGTGTCTATGTGATGTTCGACTGAATGGATCTGTAAAGAATAGGAAGGATCGTGAAACTAGCCGATGCCTAATCGTAATCTCCGCCTACGCATCAACTGATTGTAATTTGGATGATGCAAAGGATGAATTCTATGAGAGGGTGTCAGCTTCACTACAGAAAGCAAGGCACTCAGATGAAGTCATAATGGCACGTGACTTCAACGCTCAAACAGGGAAGCTGAGTCAAACAGAAAGGGATCTCGGGGAATTAACGCAATCCCACCTCAACAAACCGACAACAGTGATCGTCTGTTGTAATTTAACTCCAAAAATCACTTATTTCTGGTGAGCACTAACTTTATGCATAATGAGACCCTGTCTCACATGGCGTTCACCGATATCAAACCAACGATAGACACAGATTACAGTGATATTAACCATCGCTGGAGAGGATCGGTAGAGGACAGCCGCTCTTTCTGAAGTATTAGTTTGGACTCCAATCACGCGCTAATACGGGCTCGTGTATGTCTGCGCTTAACTGGCCGCAGGAAACAAGAGGCATGCCTATGCTCCATAGACAGATGAGGATGCCAAGCACCCATTGAGAGAGGAGTTAGCTAGGCATTTATCTGGACGTTACACCAATGCTCATGCTGAGGAAACCTGGAGTGATATTAGGCCAGCTGTAGAAACAGTGGTTAAGACAATTGTTAACCTACACCCAAAGGTTAGCAATCACGACTGGATTTCATAACGTTATCCGAACCGAATGACGCGAGAAGACTGATTGCAGTTGATTCTGACCACAACGAAAAGCGAAAGCAAATTAGACATTGACCAAGAGTCTTCGCCTTGAGCACTAGCAGTGGGGGGTAGCGAAAGAGACAGAGATAGAGAAGGCATAAGCGTTGGGTAACACTCGGTAACTATTTACGCTCATTAAGGATACCAGCAAGAATATGATGGTCAGTGAAACCATCAGCGAAAAGGATGGAACGCTGATAACCTCCCAGGACAGGCAGCTAGGACGTTGGGCGGAACACTTTTAAGCACAGTTCAACTGGCCTTCAGAAACTCTTGTTTCCTAACATCCAGCCTGCACCTGAATGACATGTAGATGTCGGTCCTTCAAACTCCCTTGAAGTTGAGGAAGCTGTATCAAACCTAAAACGATGCAAACCAGTAGGACCTGACAGTTTACCACCTAAAGTTTTCAAGGATGGAGGTAAGAAATAGTTAATTAAAGTGACGGACGTACAGCATGGGAGAGGTAGTACAGTCAAGCTAAACTACTTTACTGATCACCCCAGTCTATAAGAAGGGGAGAAATCTTGTGACAACCACATGGGAATGTGTTTGACCAATATTGTGTCTAAGATCCTAGCGTCTACAGTTATTCGACACCCAACTGGAGCTTCAGAACAGCACACTGGAGAAAATTAGGTAGGTTTCAGGCCTGGATGAGAGTGCACTGATCACACTTTTACTGTATGACAAGTTCTGGAACACAGGCATACCTACCAGCAGCCGACACTTGCCATATTTTTTGACCTGAACACGCCAATCGACTATGTCGATAGTGATGTGTCGTGGCAGTGTCTGACTGTGAAGAGAGTACCGAAAAAGTATGTAGTGCTAATCAAAGATCTCTACTCGAACTCGTACAGCTGTGTAAGGGCTTATCGAGAGCCGTCACGTGAATCGACAACGACTAGTGGTGTTCGCCAGGTATATCCACTGTCAGCATTTCTGTTTAGCCCTAGCCATCCCCAGTTTAATGATAGGAAGTGAAGTAGTGTGATATGTCGACCATATCACTTACTTGGGGAGTTGTGTCAGTCTGAACGGGTTGGTTGCTGACGAAATCTCAGCTCGGATACAGAAGGCCCGTTCGGCATTTGCCAACTGTGGCGCCGACTGATGAGATATCCAACTAACTGTTAAAGGACGAGTATGCTGCACTATAGTCCATTCTGTCCTGTTTTACGGTTGTGAGAAATGGGCGTTAGGAGTAGGAGACATGTAGCGATTGCATGGTTTTGATCACAAATGTCTTCGTAACATTGTTCGTGCTTGGTGGAATCACCATGTGAGCAATGTTGAGGTCGGGGGGAGGGTACTAGGCAAAACAGGCAATTCGATTGAGTCTGTGAAACTTAGCCGTTTGAGATGGCTTGGACCACCTATCTCTACGCACCATGCTAGGGGAAGTTGGATTGAGATGGAAAAGGGTTCACGGTGAAGAGATCCAGCACCACTCCATGAAGTCCCTGACTTTTGGCTTGAGTCATGTGGGCTGGGGTCTCCGAGACGAAATGAGTCAGTGGTTGAGGGCTCTTAGTAACATGGCTGGAAGTCGGTCACAATGACGCAGATGTATTCACTCTCTGACTTATTCTAAAGGTTTAATATTTGCACTGACCTTTATCTTCAGATTGTTTATTCTCTCACACAACTTTACCCACTTTGATATTATTCCTCTTCTATCCACCTGTTCCCTATGTATTACAGTGAACTGTGGCAACTTGATCCGATGCACCTTTTAGCGACGTTCTAATTGATTTTGTCAGTCAGTCCATCTACTCCGACCAATGCAAAAACCTGGTCTTACTTTCCCACATATTAGATGTGACTCATCCCAGCAGAAAAATGAGTATTAAGTCACCAAGTTGAATTCAGTCAAAACTGCTGTACAGATGAGTCTCAATATACCAGTAGCTAAATATGCATAGAAAAATTATTCATAAGTGGCAGGACAAATATGTTGGTAGACATCACGTATGAGGGCCTAAAAATTTTTCACATTCCTACACTTATTTCTACTTGACGACCCGGTTTCATCTTGGTGTTTGAAAATCAAGTTAGTAATAGATACCTATAATTGGTCGCAAATTGTGTAAAGTATGGGACGCAAGAGTGTTGAAGTGGAAATCTAGTGCAGAACTGTTTGAACGGAATGAGTTCATCATCAAATTCAGTAAACTCAGGGCACCTAGGATGTTTCACTGTTTAAGCGTTACAAGCATGCTGACCAAAACAACCGATTGCGCAATAACAGAAATGCACTCCTGATCAAAACAACAGCGAAACTTTCATTAACTCGAAATTTAACCGAAACAGTAGGGCACATGAAACCACTTACGTTGCATGCAATTAGTAAAAAGGAACTGGAACTTGATAGTGACTGTACAAACCTAATACAGGGAATGCTGAGAATACTCAAACAGTAGCCAGTTCTCAAAAATTTTCTTTCAGCAAACAAGGTGAGTAATATTCCAGATTGCTCCACACAACTTGGTGGGAAAAGCCAAAATCGAAGCACATAGTGCTTAAAATCACTTTTGTATGATATCAAAAAGCAGCCATCTGCTGAGAAACCGAGAAATATATCATCCGCTGCACTCTGAGGCAGTATCTGACGCAGGTGATAAGCTTTCAGCCCACAAGTTAAGTCCAGAGATGAGGCAGAAGGAGACGAAGTAACCTCCCTTTCCTGGAGCCATTTGATCATTTCCTAACCTGAAAGTTGCACATCAGGAACTCAGGATATAAGTGTGAAGAGTTTAATTCAGAAGACAAAAGTAGGTATTGTATGAAAATTTATTAAAATTCAAACAATAGGTCATTACAAACACCTGCTGCAATGCTACTGACTGTTAACTAAAAGTCTATACAACGTCCTTTACGCTCCCAATCTCCATATCGAGTTGGCTCTGGACCACGAGGTCCTCCCATCTCACCAGTTTCTGGATTCATATCATCCAACGGGAGTTGAAACTGACTCGGGATCTTTTCCTCAACAGACTCACGATTCTTGAAATCATCGGTACTCCCTAATTACATTACATACACAAAAGCTATCCTACCAAGAGGAGTCACACGTGGCATAGTCTGTTTGCTACAGTATTGGCTTTTAAATAATAATCTGCCATATATACCAGGATTTCGCAGATACAACATGGACATTAGCCCATACAACCTCATAACTATCCAAATAGGTTTTGAAATTATCTCTAAGCAACAACGAAAGCGTGAAGATGCTAATCGACAGAACAACTAAATGTAATCTGAAACTAATAACTGAAGTTATTATTCAGCTTCGACATGCCTGTTCGATATGCTTAAAAACGTTTATCTGCTTTACCAAAAAAAAAGTTTTGAGAACTTTGATTGAGAGCTTTGAACTTTATTAAGTCACAACAAAGTAGAAAGTGACCAGCGGCCGGACGAAATTCTAACCTCCAAAATGTACCATCCAACTTCGCGCGAGTGAGGTCCAATATCCAATATCTTTTTAACGAGCCTGTGTAAACCAGTTGATTTCTTCGCGCTCGCTTCTTATTCTTGCGGATTCCGATGCAGTAGGTCCAGCCACTCGTCTGCCATAGCTCTGATTTACAGAACAGGAAGTTAAGTATTGGTTTGTTTGCCTTGAACTGTGGTGCAGTTGGCTTCTTCAGATGTCGAGTTGCAAGACAGTTTTCAGGACTGGTCACTACAGAGGGTTGCGGATAGTGAAGAGAAGACCTAGAAAGCGTTTGTGTGAGTAAAATAAGAAAGGAAAAGTGAACTAATGGAGTAATCTATTTACACCCAAGTAAGGTGAGTAGGGGTGCAAAGGTATGAAGAACTTAGGTAAGTGAGGCTAACTCATGGCTAGTGGAAGGGGTGAAAAGGGCTTAAATGGTTACAATAGAAAGAAAACTGGTTGGGGTGGCTTGATATCACTTCGTGTTCCAGCTATGCGTGGGTAGACCGTGAGTCTCTGCATGACTGTCTAGCCTCTTCTTGAAGCTTTCAACAGTTGGGGCGGAGACCACCTCTGCTGGTACTGCATTCCGGCACCCACAGACTCGGAGGGAGAAGAATGGTGAACGCACATGCGTTTTTGACCTCTGGTGTGCTGTTCTATTGGGGTTTTCTCGAAGATCTGCGTGGTGGCCACTTGGTAGAACTCTGTTTGGTGACTTGGGTTACTCATTATTTCGTAAGCCATTATTAAGTTGCCACGTATCCTTCGATAGCTAAGTGAGTGTAGACCTAGGTCTTTGAGTCTATCCTCATATGGTGTCCGTTGCATTCCAACAACCCCCTTCGTGACTCGCCTCTGGACTTTCTCTAGTAGGTTCGTGCCTCTTTTCAGCTGTGATGGAGCGAAGAAGTTATGGACCTCTAAGTGGGGCCGCATGTAAGTCTTGTAGAGCTTCAGAAAGAGTTCTGGGTGAGGGCACCCAGCTGTCTACGCACAAAGTGTAGTACCCCATATGCTTTTGAGACATCACCTGGGTAATTGGAACTGGTGTTCAGTTTCTCCGTCACAGTTAGACCCAGGTCTTTTTCTACTGTGGTATGGGATAGACGTGAACCACAGAGATAGTAGGATATTTTCTGGGGATCAGGAGTGCGGAAAAACATGGACCAGCACTTATCCAGATTGAATTCCAGTTAGTTATTATTTCCCCACTCCTCTAATGCTATGAGGTCCTTCTGTAGTGCCATAGGTTCCACTTCGCAAGTTATTACCCTCCATAACTTGCCGTCATCAGCATATAGGAGAATCAGAGAGCTGATATGTTGCGGTAGGTCATTTGCGAACAGTAGGAACAACAGGGGGTCCAAGATTGCTCCTTGTGAGACACCGGATGAGGATGTTCTCTAAGTTGAGTAGACGCTGTTGACTTTCATGCAGATCCCCCTGTTGTCTAAGTGGTTCTGCAGCCACGATAGCACCTGGCTACGAATACCCAACCCAGCTATCTTATGTATTAGGATAGTATGTGAGACGGTGTCAAAGGCTCTGGTGAAGTCCAGGGAGATTGCTTGGATCAAGACCTTGAGATCCCAGCATGCTGTCCGGTGATCATGGGCCGTCAGGAGGTTGGAGGCACAGGACCCACCCTTCCGGAAGCCATGTTGAGCGTCACCGAGTGCCCGCTTCGTGTCCAGACATTCTCTGATACGGTTGTCCATCACACTTCCCATTACTTTTGATATTATTGGTAGAAGTGCTATGGGTCCATAACAGCCGGGATTCTGTCTGTCTCCTCCTTTGGAGATGGGTGAAAGGATAGCCAGTTTCCACTCTCGTGGGAGCTTTCGGTCATCCAAGGAGTGTTGGAAGAGGTTGCAGAGTGGGCCACTTAGGGTACTTGCACATTCTTTCAACACAGATGGGTGGATGTCGTCGCACCCTGCAGATTTTCCCGCGCTTAACTTCAAAATCTTGTCGAGAACAACAGCGGGAGTTATCTGTATTTCATGTAACTCAGTAGCATCGGGTAACGTCGGGGGCTGGTCGTGCAATTGGTATGCACACTTTCTTGACGGAATGTTGAGCTGTGTGTCAGATGTGGTGCTCAACATTTCAGCAATCTCCTGTCCAGAGAGGCATTCTCCGTTCGGACCTTTTATGACATATGCCCCTTGGCCTGTCGATTTTCTTTGTGCCATGAATCGGTAAGGGTTATTATGGTTTACCTCAAGCCTTTCGGCGAGGTCGGACTGGAACAACCTCCTGTCTCCCCGCACCCTCATACTGCTTTGATTCCGTAGAGTCATGTATGCGTAATGGTCGTCCTGTTCTCCGGAGAGTCTCCGTGTGTGCCATACCCTTCTCTTGGCTTTTGGAGGGCGCTCAGTGGCCCGTTTTAGCCATGACATTCGCTTTCTGGTTGTTGTTAGCGCCAAAGGTACGTTTTGCGAGACGGCCACCTTAATGATTTCTTTTGCCAGTTCCCAGTGCTGGTTGATCGGCGAGGAACACCAATCCACTGGCCACGAAGCTGTTGAAAAGTTCTTGTTCATACCTCCGTAATTTGCCTTTTTGTAACATAGGTAAGGGCGAGGCCCCTCCCATGATATTTCTTCACTAATTACCAGGTCGCACATCATCATAGCGTGATAGCTACTTCCAAGAGGGGTTTGTACCTGAACGTTTTCGACCAGGAGGGGATCACTAGTTGGTAGGTAAGCCAGTCTAGATGGTTTTCCATCTGACCCCCAGCGGGTGTCGTCGCTGATTTTTTCCTGCAGTCCAGCCATTTGGATGGCGTTTAGCAGATTACAGCAGAACTTCCAGCTCGGAGTAGTGCCACCTTGCTCTAGGCTGGCGGTTGGAGCGTTGAAGTCGCCAGCTATTAAAATCTGGTCGTACCCCATAGTTGACACTGTGGATATTGCTTGAAGCAGTTTTTGGTTATGTTCCAACTTGCTATTAGGGGACCTGATGATTCCTCCAACTAGGAATTTGGCGTGTTTGACCGTGAAGTGGCACCGGATGGAGTCTGGGAGCTCCGTCAGTGCCGTGTCAGTGGTTTGCTCACTTCTAAACCACTTGTTCACGTATATTGCAACCCCCTCGTCCCTATGTTCTCTGTCTCTCCTGAATGGAATCATATCATCTATGTCAACATCGATGTCAGCTATGTCTGGCGACAACCACGTTTCTGTCAGGATCATGATTTTGGGGGCGAGGTAGAGACAGAGGGATCGGAGCTATGAAATTTTACTTCGGAGTCCTCTCACGTTGCTGTAGAGACATTTGGAGGTGTTTCTTCTAGAGTGAGATGTCTCTGAGTTAACTAGTGGCAGGTTAAGTTTTTTCCCTCGTCTGCCGGTGCATTCGGTGTTGAGTGGGGGTTGCTGGTCCAACTCTCAACTTTTCGGTTTAGGGTTACGGTGGCCTGAGCACAGGGCGTAACTGCTGTCTGTTGCTGTCGCAGTGTCCTCGGTCTGCTTTCACAGCAGCGAAAGTTACCGCTTATGGTGCTCTTGACTTTGTACCACGTCTCCAGCACTCTGGTGAGTACTTCTGGGGATTCGAAGTTGACAGCCATTAGTCTAGGTGATGTCATGGTTGTCAGATGCAGGGGGTGTAGTAGTCCGCTAATTGTCGCAGCTGCAACCCCACTCAGATCCATCCGAGATGATAACCACCCCCATTGTTTGACGTCATGTGTGTACTCCTCACCTGGGGTACCGGTCACCATTTCAGGTATTCCATGTACGGCCATGATTGTGAGTTTCGGTGGACCAGCTGCCTCTTGAGATGTCTTTCTTGACACCCATGATCGGTCAGGTCTAGTTCTAATGTTGAACGACCTGTTGATGACCAGGGCGTGTGACAGTAAGAGGAACTTTTCGGCCTCTCTAGTTGAGCCTAGAGTCACTCTCATCGGCAGAGGCCTCCCTGCTGGTGAGTGGGTGCCTTTGTATAGTCGACACAGTTTTGCCTCGAGGACGACCAGACCTAGCATGGCATAGAGGGAGTCCCACTGCTGCCTGTCAAACTTGTCCTTGTGTTCTAGAAGACTATCATCACAGACGGGAAAGTTAAACAGAATGATAGAGCCAGATCGGTCAGTGATGCCAATATTATTCGATCCTATAGGTGCTTTTCCAGGGAAGCCTCGAGTTTTTTCTTTCCTTATAAGGCGTTAACCTTCGTCGATCTCATTGGTCAGTACGAAATAGCCTACAAAAAGGCCAGTGTGCTAGCTTACAATCTACGTA